GGTCGCCGAGCGAGCACCTGAAGCGCGTAACACCTGGTCAGACAGAGAATGGGGAACGGCCCCCACTGCGCTTGGATTAAAACTCCGGAGTAAATCTCCTACTTGTAATAAAAGGCTCAGGAGAAGGCAGCGGGGGAGGGGTGTTGATTACAAGAGTAAAACCCCAAAAACCAAACCCATTGCTGTGGAGTCAATTCCAACTTATGGCAACCCTATAGGACAGAGTGGAACTGCCCCCATAGGGTTTCCAAGGCTGTAATCTTTATGGAAGCTTAGTGCTACATCTTTCTCCCAAGGAACAGCTGGTAGGTTCTAACCACCGACCTTTCAGTGAGCAGCTAAGTGCTTAACCACTGCGCCACCAGGGCTCCTTGATTGCTAGAGTAGGTTGTAATAACTAGAAAGGGCGGGGGAGGGGATTTAGGCAAATTTTACTTATAAAGTGTTGGGAATAACAGTCGAGGTGATGGTTTGATGGCGCCGTGCTGTTCTGCAGAGAAGTTACACACCTGGGTGAGGCTGGACCCTGAGGATTCACACAGGCTGGAGGGGTCTCAGCGGGGGCGGGCAGTAGTACTTTTTAAAGCTCCCGAGTGATTCTTAGGTACATCCGGGCTAGAGAGACACTTTGCTCTTCTGATATTCCTCTGACTTGTCTGGTCAATGGACTCAACAGGCGAAGTGGTGAAAATACAAATTCCAGGGCCTCCCTTCAGACCCATGGAACAAGGATCGCTGGGCCGGAGAAGATCATTTTCACACGCCCCCCTCGGAATTCTGTGGTCAGGAGTTGTAGAATCAGTCATGTGGAGCAACCCCCATTCGGTCCAGTGTTTGGGGGAGGGTCTATCACTTGGGAAGGTGAGTCACCTGCCTCTCTCCGAGAGGGGGGTTTGGTGTGTGTGTGTAGTTCAAATTGCCCTTTCCCCCTCATTCTGTAGTGCAGAGATGCAGTGAATTTTGAAAATGCTCCTCAGGTGATTACCCTTTTATATGCTGTCCCCTTACCCAGCTCCCTTCAGACCCAGAGAGATTCTGTGATCTGCCCAGTCACACAGCTTGTCAGGGTCAAACACTTTTTTGTATACAGCACCAGTTAATAAAGATAGTTATTTTGGGCGGAGGGAGGGGAAAGGGGAGCTTATAAATAATATTTCTGTGTAGTGAGGGAGACAGTATTCTTAAGCTTTCCACCTCCAGAACCTTCAGGAAGCTGGGTGAGAGGACAGCCCAGGCTTTTAGTGCCACCTGGTGCCCAGGTTTGGGCTTGAGAATTTCCTACTAAGAACTCCACCCTCAAATGAATTGAGGACTGAACGTTTAGTTGAAATAAAAAGCAGGAGTGAATACCAGATCATCTGTAGTGAACAATTTCACATTTTTTTCACCACATGGAAGACTCTGCTTCTAGGTATGGCTGGCATCTGTCTCGCTCCCAAACCCACAGCACCTTCCTACAGAATCAAAGCCTCTTTTCAAATTTACAGTCCCTGACAGGGGCAGATGACCCAGTAAGCGAGGTAAGCATGGGTTTACTAGTGCTTACTTACTAATCTGTAGTGAACAATTTCACTACAGATGATCTGGAAAGCAAGGTAAGCACCATACTTACCTTGCCTGCTAGATAATCCACCCCTGATAAAAAGTCAAACGTGTCTTTTAAGATATGCCCTGCAGGGGTACTCATTTGCAGAGAGCTACAACCAGAAATTAAATATTTGGAAATGAAATGAAAGTCCAGTATATGAACAGCATAGGAACCCCAGCACTATTGAAGGTTGACTTTATTTGGTCTGTTTCCTTACCACAACAATGTGGACAATAGGAGAAACAATTATTCTTGTGTATATAATGCTCCAGGATTGTTGCTCAGGTGTTTGACAGCTTTATCGTGAAGTTAAGCATCAGGTTCCATTGAAAGGTTATGTGGCTTAGTAACTGGCTCCTTTTGTGTGTGTGTGAATGATACAGACAAAATATTTTATTTTTATAATATTTTATTGGGTTTTAGATGAAAGTTTACACAGCAAATTAGGGTCCCATTTGACAATGTTTATGCAAATTATTCTGTGATATTGGTTATAATTTTCACAGTGTGTCCACATTCTCATTATTTCCATTCTGTTTGTTATGTTTCCATTGATCTAGCTTCCTTTTTCCTCCTTGCCTTCTCATCTTTGCTTTAGGGTAAATGTTGACTGTTTGGTCTCATATAGTTGATTGTTTAAGGGAGCACATTACTCATGGGTGATATTGTTTATTTTATAAGTCAATCTATTATTTGGCTGAAAGGTGACCTCCAGGAGTAGCTTCAGTTCCAAGTTCAAAGGGTATCTTCGGGCAGTAGTCTCCGGGGTTTCTAGTCTCTGTCCGTTCAGTAAGTCTGACCTTTTTTAGGAATTTGAATTTTGTTCTACATTTTTCTCCCATTCTACCTGGGACCTCCTGTTGTGTCCCTGATCAGAATGGTCAGTAGTGGTAGCTGGGCAACATCTAGTTCTTCTGGTCTCAGACTAGAGGAGGCCATGGTTTGTGTGGGCTGTTAGTCCTGTGGACTAGTTTTTTCTTTGAGACAGACTCATTATTTTAGAAAAATAAGTTCAAACAGTGCAAGAAAGTACAAAGAAGAGTGTAAAAATCACCTGACCTTACAGTGACGGTCTCTTCTAACTTGTGGTCCTCACCTTGGCCGCACACTAAAATCACTTGGGAGATTTTTAAAATCCTGCTAGGTGTGCAGAAGGAGCCCTCATGGTGCAGTGATTAAGAGCTTGGCTGCTAACCAAAAGGTCGGCAGTTCAAACCCACCAACCCCTCCTTGGAAACCCTGTGGGGCAGTTCTACTCTGTCCTGTAGGGTTGCTATGAGTTGGAACTGACTAGACAGCAGTGGGTTTCGTTTTGATTTGGTTATTTTTTTAAAAAAACTTTTCTTTCTAATTCTTACCAGACTTAGACCAAAAAAAGCATGTAGAGCTGAAGATGGATCAGGCTTTGCTGCTCATCCATAACGAACTACTTGGGACAAGCTTGACTGTCTACTGGAATTCTGAAAGCTGCTACCATGTGTGTATTATGTTCATCACAATTTTGTTGGCTTTGGGGGTTAGTTTGATATGATCCTTCATATTCCCATACCTGAAATTCTTCCTTCACATGTTTACAGGTAAGGAAAAACAGGCTATATAAAGAGGCAGAGAGAAATATAATCAGAGGAGAATGTCTAGCAATGTGTAACGTCAGATTCTTCTCTTTTTTTCCTACCCATCTTTTTAAAAAGAACTTCTCAGTGATGAGAAAAATTGAGAGGCTGTGTTTTGTTTTTACTTCTTTATCTAATACATAGCCCTGTTGCTAGACCAGAGAAGGAAGGAGTGAGCTAGCTGGGTATTCTCCGAGAGCAAGTGCTGCGCAAGCAGAAGGAAGGGACAGGTTGAGAGGCAGTCGCGGTTTTTCCTGGAGTCACCTCTGATGACAAAGAATTATTTGAAGTTTTGCTCCTATTTTAAACTTTGTTGCTTTTTAAGGACAAGGCTGTTCTTCCATGTAAAATAAAGTATCATTTGTTTCCAAATTGGGAACTTTATTTTACCTACCTTCAGGGGAGGGAATTTAATATATACTGACCTACTTACTGTAAGTAGCTTCAAAAACAAGTTAAAAAAAAACCAATTGTGGACACTAGCTGAGAAGATGATGGAGATACGTGATCCCTCCTCAGTTTGATTAAACACCTTAAAAGCTTTGTAAAGCAATATGAAACAAAGAAAATCTAATATTAATTAAAAAAAAGTAGCCCAAGACAAAGAAAAGATTTAACAGTGTTCAAGGACCTAGAAGAATCCTGGGGGAAAAAAAAATCAACAGTAGCTGAAATTAAAAAGTTACAAGATTTACAGACAGACAATTTAGAGAATGGGCAAGATGCTTTCTAAAAAGACAGAAGAAAGGTCTGAAAAACTAAGAAAGAACAAGTTGAGATAAAGAAGATTGCATTGTCAGGATATTAGCCGTAATGCAAGTAAACGTATCATTAGAATGAAAAAGAAGTAGAATCATTGGCACAAAACACTGACTCAGTGACAAATTCAAAACAGAGAAGACTCAATTAGCTAGATGATAACTAGTTCAAGAAAAAAAATAGCCAACTTATTTAAAAGAGCATGGAGATAATTATGTCTAAGGAAAATGTGTAAAGCAGTGGTACAGTGTACGTACTCAACCATAATAATAGAAAAGGTTCCATGCTTGTAAAAAGGATCTTAGCGTGGAAATTGGAAGGGTGTTTATGGCCCTTTAAAGGTTGAACAACTAGAATGATGTTTAGACATACTGTTTTAAATTTGGAACTTTAATGATAATTTAAAAATCCTTAAGCAAATGTAGGTTACAGGAGAGATACGTATTCAAAAGAATGCAGATTACAATAACAGAGTAAGACCTCTATGTAAGTGTCAGCATTATTAGCAGTAAACATAAATAATGTTTATGGCAAGAATTAAATAGAAAAAAATAGATAATTTTTAAAATATCTGTGTATATTTCACAGAAACATTGATCATATGTTAGGTCACAAAAGGATAAATAAATACTAAATACAGACATTATACATTCCATAATTTCATACCTCCGTACAACAAAAACCAAATTAATATAATGGAGGCTATAACACAAACATAAATATTTTGTTGAAAAATTCTTAGACCTGGCCAAAGCAATGTTTAGGAAAAAGATTTATTCAAATGTTTGTCAAGTTTTTAATAATAAAGACGATGATAATAGAAGTTGTAGCTATTGATTTCTGAGGGCCTGCTCTGAATCTTAGATATGTTCTGTCTCATGTAATCCTCACAACGATCCAGTAAAGAGGATACATCTGGATTTTGTAAATGGTGATACTGAGATTAAGAGAGGTAAAGTGACTTTTTCGCTGGTTACCCAGCTGTTGTATAGCGGAGCTGGGATTCACACCCTCACTCTAGCTTCAGAGACTGTGTTCTCAGAATCCTGTCTCACATTAATCAGAAAGAAAAGTTTGGGAAATGCCCATCTATTGAGTAGGGATTTTGAAAAGATAACAGTGTAATCATCCAAACAAAAAGAAAAAGGATGTAATAAAAATAATAAATATGCAAACTGGAAAATGAGAAATAAGAATGAGTCAAGAGATGATTTTTTGTTTGTTTAGCTATTTAAAACAAATATTTATTATCTCATAGTTTCTATGGATCAAGAATCTGGACACAGCTTAGTTGGGCAATCGGGCTCAAGGTCTTTCCCAAGGCTGCCTCCAGGTGTTGGCTGGGGCTGCAGTCATCTCAAGGCTCAGCTGGGTGAGGATCCACTTCCAGGCTCATCAAGTGGTTGTTGGCTGGATTTAGTTGCTTTCTGGTTGTTGGTCAGAGACCTCCCTCAGTTTTTTCCCATGTGGGCCTTTCCATAGGGCAGCTCCCAACATGGCAGCTGGCTTCTGGCTCCCTGTGCCATCTTTGATTCTTCTTGAAAGGCTGTGAAATGCCAGCCACTTGACTGTGGAACTGCTTCCTGGCCCGCACCGCCATGTTGGTGGGATAGCGGGGCCTGTCGCTTGTTTTGTTTTGATTTGTTCTGACGGTTTTCTTTGTTTCCCCTTTCTTCTCTCAGCTTGGAAGCCCCCTCTAGCTGGGCTGCACTGCGCGGCCTGGGAGCTACTTCCCCACAAGAGATGATTTAAAAAAACAAAACAGTAACATAATTGATAAATTATTGATGAATTTAAAGGAACAGTGGAAGTGAATAAAATTACCCATTGCTGTGAAGTCGATTCTGACTCATACTGACCCTATAGGGCAGAGTAGAACTGCCCCATAGGGTTTCCAAGGAGCAGCTGGTGGATTTGAACTGCCGACCTTTTGGTTAGCAGCCAAATGCTTAACTACTGCACCACTAGGGCTGTGAGTAAAATTAGAAATTATTTATGTGTATAAGATCTTGTATACATATATATATATCTTAATTATATATATATATTGAAATATATATACCAGCTGAAATTAAGATAATTTTGGTCCAATGAACAGTTAAAGCTGATACATTTGAAATTTAAAAATAGAATGATTTCCTTCAAAAATTATAATATGAAGATTGATTCAAGATATTGAGAACATAAATAGATCAGAAAATTAAAAAATTACTGAATAAAAAAATCTGCAAAGTTATAAAGAATTTAACAAGCCATAAGTAGGTAATTTTTTCCTATGTTTTCAAATAGATAATTTTCATCCTGTATAAACTGATCCTAAACATAACTCCAAATAAAAGATGGCTTGCTGTCTAATTTGTTCTGCAGTATAGATAGGATATGAAATCTTAAAATCTGGCAAAGACATGAAAAGAAATGCAGATCAGTCTTTCTAATTAAGATGGATGCAAAAATCTTAAATAAAATTCTATCAAGTAGAAATAAGTTAACATATTGAAAGGATTTATTTATGATGACTTATATTTTTTTTCCTTGAGGAATCTGTCGGTCACATATAAGGAAAATGATAAAATGTTAATGGAAAAGATAAAAGTTAAGTGGAGAGAGAGTTAATGTATTATGGTATGAAGACTAAACATAGGAAAAATGGCAGTACTTCCCAAATTAATTCATACATTTAACATAACTGTTGTTATTAACATAGCAATGGAATACTTTATAAAAATCTGTAGAAATAATTCCAAAATTCATACAAAATTCATACGAAAAGGAAATGAGCAAGAGTATCAAAGGTTAGCCCAAGAGAAGAGGCAATCTACCAGGTAAGATATATTACAAAGCCAGAGTCATTCATGGAGCCAAAAAAGAGACATCAAGAACAGACCAAAGTGAGTGTAAGAAGTAGCCTCTAATTTACATAAGAATTTAACATACTACGACTAACACCCAAACTCCAAGTTAAAAAAAAAAATCCAAAATTCATAAACTTAAATACTACAAAAGGCAGAATAAAAATTTTAAACTAATAAAGCAATAGATGAAATGATGAGCCAGATGAGTAAGACTGTATAAGAATTTTAAAACTTGTAATTGAAAACAACAAAATACAATAAGATGAAAAGGAAAGCACTGGAATGGGGAAGTATTTGAGATAAAGTTTCTATTATAGTATATGAGGATATATTTATAAGACTATATTCAGGGGACTTGGTATCTAATAGATGGTTCACACAATAGGAAACAAAACATCAAAAGACTATTAAATCTTTCTTTAATGTACTGATTATTTAAAATATAATCTTAGCTTGGAGATATCGTAACTAGTAAATAAACAAAAAGAAAAATGATTTTTAAATCCTGGTAAGGCTAATGAGAAATAAATGTAATTTTACTTATTTGAGTACTGTTTGGCCACGTGTAACAGGAACCATTAAAATGATTTTTTTTTTTCTCCCAGTAATCTACTTTTGAAAATTTACCTTGGGAAAATAATTTAAAGGTACAGGAATCTTTTATGTAGATTTTTAAAAACAATATATATATATCGAAAATAGCAAAAAGATAAACCCAAGAAGGTTTTTAAAGAAACCTAAATTTCCACAGTTGTAGTATTTGATGAAATGTATTTGTTAAAAAATATTAATTGAAACATTAAAAAAACAAAACAAAAACAAGCCCAATGATGTTGATTCCGACTCATAATGACCCTATAGGACAGAGTACAGTTGCCCCATAGGGTTTCCAAGGCTGTAACCTTTAGGGAAGCCAACTGCCACATCTTTCTCTCTCAGAGCAACTGGTGGGATGGAACTGCCAATCTTTCAGTTAGCAGCCAAGCAATTAACCACTGCAACACTAGGGCTCCTTAAAGTGAAACAATTGTTGTCATTGTTAGGTGCTGTGGAGTCGGTTCTCACTCATAGCGACCCTGTGTATAACAGAAGGAAATGTTGCCCCGTGGAAAATTTAATATATCCTATATTTATTATGTAAAAAAATTACCTATGCATAGATTGTATAATTCCATATTGACACATAATTAGTTATCATTTTAATATAAAATTATAGGTGAATTTTATCTAAATTGTTGAAATTAAAAGTTATTTTGTGAGTATGAAGGAAAAGCCATCTCGGTCTTCAGGTGGATGTTCATATCCTCTAATAAGCAGCAGATTTTCAAAACCCCCGAGCAGTTTACCTTTTGTGTTTTTATTTTACATAGTGCTTGTATCAGGTTCTGGTAAATGTTTCAAGGAGTGGAAAACCTGGGAAGCCTAGCATTGCAGCTGTGGCGGTGAGCACCCAGCACGGCTCCATCCTGCGGCTTAACGATACCTTGGAAGAGAGAGAAGTTTGTAGGTTTGTACCTGCTTTGAGGTCAACATAACTGAAGTCTGCATTTTCTCTCTACTTTTTTTTCTATTTTGTTTTCAGCCTTTCCGCCCTTTAAAATAGTGTTGTATATTCTCCTTTGTCTGCACCCAGGAATGTATATCACTCTGCCTTAATGACATTAGCTAAATCCAAGTCTGTATTCCTAATCTAACTGTTTTTCTTAATTTTACCTAATTTTTGTAGGCTGGAATACAAATTTGGAGAATTTGGAAACTATTCTCTCTTGGTAAAGCACCCCAATAATGGAGGCAATGAAATTTCTTGTGACCTAGTTGTCAATAAAGATCCAATTGACAGTAACCTTCGTAAGTATAAACTCTTTGTTGATTTTTCTAGTTGTGTTTTTAAAGGTTTTAGTTTTCTTTGGGTGCTGTTTGAAAAGAAAAGCAGTTTGTGACATTTTCTGTAATTTAAAACTTGAGTTAGATTATCTATCTCATATAGTTATGACATAATTATAATGTATTTATTGCATCATTGGTACATACCAAGAAAATTAGATGATATATCTCATAGTTGTTATTTAGTTTAATTATGAAGCATAAAGAATCCAAACAAAGTTAACGCAGTGGAAAGAAACTAGGACAATTGATTGTCAAATATCTTTCCTTGTTTCAGGATTTAGGGTGCAGTGTTTCCTGTATAGTTTTCCTTCCTACACTGATAGTCCAGAGTTCCATTTAGATTAAGGAGGGATCATTCATTTTCTAACAACTCCAATGAGGAAAATTTGTCACCCTGACCGCCCCCATTGGATAATGTTGTGTCTGTTGCCTTTCAAGGGACAGTAATGAATCTCTGTGCCATTGATAAATACTGTTCACAAGGAAGCTGTTGAAGGCTGTGGGACCATGTCACAAGAATGTAAAAGCCAATGTGAAGAAGCCAGTATGAAGTGAGACAATTTAAGCATCAAAAGAATAATGGGTGTAATTGATGAAAACCCAATGAATATACAAAAAAGTATGAGTTCATTATGAAACTAAAAAGAGAGAGCCCCTTTCCCTCCTCCCCGCAACAAAACCAAAAACAACCCTTTGGTCGCCTTTGGAAGTAATGGGGCGCCTGATAACTGTTGTTGTTAGTTGCTGTCGAGTCAGCTCTGACTCAGAGAACTTACATGTACCGGAATGAAACATTGCCCAGTATTGTTGGTATATTTGAGCCCATTGTTGCAGTTATTGATGTTAACTAGGGTGATTAGGAAAAATTTAAATATTTCATGAAAACATCCTGCCTTTTCTGTTTTAACTTTAGTTCATGGTAACCAAATAGCCTTTGTTGATGACGGTAAGTTCTTTACAGCAGAATTCTAGCTAATGAAATATGGTAGGAATGACAGAATATTTTCCAACTCTTAATGAAATAATTGATTCAGGCAATAAATCATGAGTGGATCAAGCCATGAGATAAAAGGGAAACTTTGCAATGGAAGGATCAGGCTTTTACCAGCTGAACACATCCATCAGTCAATGGGATGTACACAGCACCATCTTG